GCGACCGCCGCCTACGTCCCCGGCTCCTACGACGGCCTCACCGACCGCTTCTCCTTCCTGCTGTGGGGCAACTTCCTGCAAGACGACGGCGCTCTCATCTTCTGCGTCCGCTACCACACACTCGGCCAAGAGTTCTGGGACAACAACCGCGGCCGGGACTACGTGCTGCAGTGCTACAAGACGTCGGGGACGGCAGGGGTGCCAGGCATGATCGGCTCCAGCGTCCCTCAGAACGTCAGCAGCGTCGAGGCGCACTACAGCGGCGGCAGGAACTTCAGCTCGAGGCCCACCAACTTTAGTGACGTTTACGGCACTTCGCCAACCACTCCCAGCGATCCTTGGGCGTCCAGGTTCTTCTAGGTGAGCAGCGCGCGGCCGGTTCCTCTTGGCGAAGCGTGAGCTGGCGAGTTTTCGTGGCGAATAACCATTCTGAAGACATTAGACGTCACATTATGAGGATGCGAGGCGAATAATGAAAATATCGGCAAAAAAGAAGCAAGAACAATAGACTTTTCACATACGCTTACTCGGTTTATTATATTTTAATTGCCATTAAACCGACAGTAATTCACATGGCACTTCAAAATGGTTATTCCACTTAAACCGTAAGCCCAGTGTACTGTACCAGGAGAATCGCCGGACTTCCATTCACAAAATGTACACTCTATGAACGTCAGGGAAGGTGAGAAAAATCAGGCAGGTGTCATGGGAGCGCCTGATGTCTGGCTTAGACCAGGTTTTCGAGTCCTCGAGGTCGGCGGCTCGCACTTTTTTCGGAGGCGGACCTACCTGCCTACTTTCAGTCATTCCTGCGATCAAAAGTTGCCCTACATATATGATTAGTAGAATTGACGGCAGTGCTAAAATTGGCACAATAATAGAATGTTAAAATTGACAAACATATGAGAGACGTTCAGGCAGAAGTAACCATCTTACATATGTAATTTACCTGACACGTCAATTTCTGCTTAGGGTATATCCACTCAGATACACTCACACACACACGCGCGCTCGCGCAAACAAATAGATTTCATTTACTAGTACATTTACATGAAGACATCCTACGAAGTCCGTCATGGTATCTTAAATATTTCTCAGTAAACATTTGCAGAAATAATGAATGACTGTTCTTCTCTTGCTTTCCAGATGATGTGCTGACTACCAAGGGCCAGACGACCCTCCCAGTCACCCCATAGCTCCTCGGGGCCGCTCACAATCCTGCCTCTGCCAGAGATTTTCACCGGCACTACATCGTCACTTCACCACACAGTCACGTCACCACCACACGCGCCCCACCACGGAATCATGACTTCACCGCAAACGAACTCAGCACCACAAGTCAGGCTGACTGCTGAACATAATACGCTTCACAGATCGCTCGCGCTGCACACCGATTCCCTCCTCAAATCAAATCCTTCGCGCTATGCTGCTGGGGCGCAGCAGGTCTCCCACGCCGCCTTCTGTCGGCGGAGCGATGCCTCGCGCGGGCTCCTGCCGCTGGCTCCTCCGCCTCGCCTTCTTCCTCGTGACTTCGCCTTGCTGTTCCCGAGACAAGATATGCAGACATGTAAATAGATAGAGGGAGCAGTCTTGCTGGTACTGCAGGATTGTTAGTTAGACACGGCTAAGAGTTGGTGTTGACGCGTTTGCATTAGGTTTATATTTATTTATTTTTTCAAAACAAATATTCGATTACGACTATGAACATGCTCTTGAATATAATTTACGAGTAACGTCTTACGTGTGTTAGATTTGAGGCACACACACACATGCATATACAGGCATATTCATAATCGTGTTCATTATGTTTACATGCATACATTTACATTTGTACACACTATTGTTACTAGAGATATATACCGTATATTTTATTTCCCTGATGAAGAGTTCGCGAAGGGAAAACAGGCAAGTGTCCAACACCCATACAAGAGTGTGTCGGAAGAACTTCAAGTGTGAAAGTTATTGTTTCTTCCGATCAGGTGAGCTTGCGAAGCTCTTCGGTGGAAGAGTAGCTTCACGTGCTAGCCAAAAGAGTGCCAAAGTGATAAAGAGCTTCTCGTTCGCCTTCTGAGTGAGTCGTGTCCAGAGTCCCAAGTCAAGTCCGTCAGGGAAATTCATTGTCATTGAATTCATTGCCGTAACAACTGTTTTCCAGCTATAGATGACTAACACTTTCACCGTGTAAGAATTTCCCAAATAATCACCGCAGACCTTTGAGCAACTAAAATAGGGCAAGCACATGAGCAGAAAGCGAGGAGAAGGGCACGGGCGGGGACACGGACACTGGGACAGCCAGCGGAAGGCAGGTGTCGGGGTCAAGCAGAGGCGGAGCGCGCGCGGCGACGCCAGGCAGAGACGTCCCAAAGCCAGGTCTGGCAGGGGGACGGCGGAGGCCTGCTCGATCGGAAGAGAACACAGCTCATTTGGGTTGAAAGCTTGAAGTAGTGAAGTGCATCTCTTCGACCAGGAAGGTTTGACAGACCAGGCAGTTGTTAGAGGA